GCTGTTATTTTATCCTTTAAAAAAGTCTTCTTCAATGATGTTAGTGGTTGAAAGGTTTCAAAATATCTTGGGAGCGGCGAAAATTCGCGGTTCGGTGGTATCCGCGGTTCGGTGGTTGATTACGTTAGTCTTCCTGCTTCGTCTTTCAGGCGCTATATTGATGGCATCGACTCTTAGCCAGGACCGGGCGCATTAATATAATCGGGTGATCACTGTCAGGTTCTCAAAAAAGGAGTTAGCCATTCAGGTGGCATCACTGATTCCTGAAGTAGATCCATTACTGCGGATATCTTTGCCGTTGCCGCTGTTGATGAACGGAATAAGCTGGCCAAGACCTCGGACATTAGAATTTTGGACCACAGTTTACACGTGGGCCAGGAGTGCTCGGTGGAATACTCCGTGCATCACTGTCTTTGACCCACCATTTTTGCGGACTGGATGATCTGGCCTTCTCATTATTGGCATTGATTAAAGTCCTGTTCTTGTCAGCTCACAGCCGTCGATCAGCTAGCTATCTGTCTGCTCATTTGCTTGGCGGTTTTGCCTCCTAAACTGACAACAACCACCGCCCGCTTGCGTCCAAATTTAGTACTACCTATAATTCCGCGTTGGCAAGAAAAATAGTGTAGCCTGATGGACACAGCCCTACGAGATAAGACCTTCTTCCTGTCATATCGTCCTTTGTCGGTGACGGTTTCCGTGTGAGAGGCCAGCGTCTAAATTCCAGTTTCTCGTGGTGTCGACAAATTGGGGACTGTTCCTTCTTGCTAACGACGCTCTCTTCCTTCCATCTGCTCGTTCGGCAAGAGCGAGATTCCACCAACCTCGCCAGTGCTCCGGAGTCACGGCCATCGTTTCTAGAAGATCCTCCGACCAGAATCATCAATTACACGATTCACCATGGCTACGTCAATGCACCTATCGAAGCTCCGGAATTGGTTCCTCGCGTCTCCTCCTGCCGAGTTCATCATAGACAGACTGCGCGAGCTATTGATCGGAGCGCTCAAGCAAGGGCCGGTTCCACAGCACATTGCATTTGTTATGGATGGAAATCGGAGATTTGCAAGATCACATGGCATTGAGACTGTAGAGGGACATAATCTGGGATTTGAGGCTCTGGCAAGGGTAAGCCGCCCCTTTCAAAAGATTTGCCTGTTGCTACAAAAGCGAACACCCGGTTTTTAAAAGGTCTGCTGTCATTGGTCTGGTACTGACAATCCGTCATTATTCGCTAGATCCTCGAAGTCTGCTACAAATGTGGTGTGAAAGTTGTGACGATCTATGCCTTTAGTATCGAGAACTTCAACCGCTCAAAGTTCGAGGTGGATGCATTGATGGATATGGCCAAAGTGAAATTGCAACAAATGGCACAACACGGAGATCTTTTGGATCGCTACGGAGCAAGGGTCCGAGTGCTGGGTCGCTTGGACTTGTTGAAGCCCGACGTTCTTGAAGCGGTGAACCGAGCTGTGGGAATGACCAGCCGCAATGGTGAACGTGTCCTTAACATCTGTTTCCCGTATACCTCGCGAGACGAAATCACCGGCGCTATTCGCGATACTGTGGCTGATTACAGCAAGCCCTTGAGATCCATCCGCTCAAGCTCTTCCGCGCGAACACCATTTTCCGAGACTCACATTGCGCTCAACATCCGTGCTCAAGCACAGAGTGCGAAGGTGGAACAAGATACCAACAGCGATAATGAATCTGCTTCCGTATCATCAGCCCAAGGAGAAGATGCAAATAATAGAAGTGAAGGTCCAAACAAGGTCTATGAAGCGGGTTCCGGGTTCTCCTCCTCAACAACCCTACATCTCGGTGTGCACCAGGACGCGGCGAACGGGAAGGCTCTAGAGTCAGGAAACTCATCGGAATCGGAAAAGATAGTCTTTCAGTCACCAGAAACCATCACTCGTCAGACACTAACAGATCACATGTTGACCAAGGGCAACCCCCCACTTGATCTACTGGTCCGAACATCTGGAGTGGAACGTCTTAGTGACTTCATGCTCTGGCAATGCGATGAGGAGACGGAGATTGTCTTCCTAGATGTCCTGTGGCCCGAATTCGATCTGTGGCATTTCCTGCCTGTCCTTCTCGGCTGGCAAAGGAGGATCTCTAAGTCAAAAAAGAACCCCGACGCTGAAGGAAACTTTGATGGTGACATCACTGAAGTTTCTGATGCCGAAGTCAATTCCAGTGGGAAGGTCAAGGGCTTGTAAATGATGAGGCCATTGCATAGGGCAGCTGGGAGTCTGGAGTTTTTTTCCTAGGGTATATCATTATACCAAAGTATGATCGACTTGTATATATTAGCAAATAGCCGACCTGATACTAAAATAATAACCACTACGAATACATCTGCCTATGGAAAGTGAACTTCATCGCAAGAGCCGTATATATCTGGAGACGAAGCCTCCGATACCGCAGCTCTTATCGCCGAAATATGGAGTACACGTGACTACACATGACTCACTCCACAGAGGGACGGCGGGGAAGTGGTGGGAAAGAAACGCTGGAAGCACAAGTAATTTTTCACTGTCTTGAACTCAATTCACCTATCCTGCATTCAATTGTCATCAATCGCCATAATGGTCAAGCAAATTGCTGGATCCAAGGTCCTTCTTCTGGGCTCAGGCTTCGGTATGACTCTTTTACTCCTGATCTGTGTCATCGCTCGGGAGACATGGAGCCCCGCATTCACATTGGACTTTTTTGGCTGATAGACTGGTAGTCACCAAGCCCACCGTTGAGGTTCTCAGCAAGGCTGATGTGCATGTCACTGTTGGTACGTATACACAATGCTAATATAACTCCTTTTTTTGCTCTGAGGTTGCATACACCTTTCATGATGCCCACTGCACCAGTCGCAGCCAGCTGGCTTAATCAGATGAAGCTGGGAAAGATCGCAGACATCTCAATCGCATCACAGAATTTTGATTCGCATAGACTGACAAAAGTGTTTCTTTCCTATGATTCACAGCTTGCAGAACCCTTGAGAGTGCCCAAAACCTCTGCGAAGGCTTCCCCAACACCAAGGCCATTGCCCTCGATGTCAACGATGCTGCTGCTCTGGACAAGGCTCTCGAGCAGGTTGACCTTGCTATCTCCCTGATTCCCTACACCTTCCACGCCCTTGTCATCAAGTCCGCCATCCGCACAAAGAAGCATGTCGTTACCACCTCATACGTCTCCCCTGCCATGATGGAGTTGGACGAGGAATGCAAGAAGGCCGGTATCACAGTTATGAACGAGATTGGTCTAGACCCGGTATGTTCTGCATCCACATTGCCTTATTCTGTTGGGATCTGAGTTGTCTTTTTGACTCTGCTCCTAGGGTATCGACCACTTGTACGCTGTCAAGACCATCTCCGAGGTACACGCCGAGGGTGGTAAGATCACTTCTTTCCTCTCCTACTGTGGTGGTCTCCCTGCCCCCGAGTGCTCTGACAACCCGCTGGGTTACAAGTTCTCGTGGTCCAGCCGTGGTGTTCTTCTCGCTCTCAGAAACGCCGCCAAGTTCTACAAGGATGGCAAGGAGTTCAGCGTTGCCGGCCCCGACCTCATGGCTACCGCCAAACCTTACTACATCTACCCCGGCTACGCCTTCGTCGCCTACCCCAACCGTGACTCCTGCCCCTACCGCGAGCGTTACCAGATCCCCGAGGCCCAGACCATCATCCGTGGTACCCTGCGCTACCAAGGCTTCCCCGAGATGATCAAGGTGCTGGTGGACATTGGTTTTCTCAGCGACGAGGCCCAGGAGTACCTCAACTCCCCCATCCCCTGGAAAGAGGCCACGCAGAAGATCCTGGGCGCCACCTCCTCGGACGAGAAGGACCTGGAGTGGGCCATCGCCTCCAAGACCACCTTCGCCGACAACGACGAGCGCAACCGCCTCATCTCCGGCCTTCGCTGGATCGGCCTCTTCTCCGACGAGCAGATCACCCCCCGCGGTAACCCCCTCGACACTCTCTGCGCCACTCTCGAGCGCAAGATGCAGTACGGCCCCGGCGAGAGGGACATGGTCATGCTGCAGCACAGGTTCGGTATTGAGCACAAGGACGGCTCCAAGGAGACCAGAACCAGCACGCTTGTAGAGTACGGTGAGCCAAACGGTTACTCCGCCATGGCCAAGACCGTCGGTGTCCCCTGCGGTGTTGCGGTCAAGCTGGTCCTCGATGGCACCATCAGCCAGAAGGTGAGTCTTCTACATTCTTTCCCGTTTCAAGTTGACTAGCAGAGACTGATTTGACCGTGTGCTTCAATTTAGGGTGTCCTCGCCCCCATGACCTGGGATATCTGCGAGCCTCTTCTCAAGACTCTCAAGGAGGAATACGGCATTGAGATGATCGAGAAGACCCTCTAAGCTTCCTCTCTTTGTATGAAATCATTAGACCTCTAAAATCATGAAAATACTCTTCACGATCGAAAAAGTTCAGAACTCTGGAGATAATACAGAAGGAAAATAGAGCTATATCATGATGATTATAATCGGCGTTGCTTAGACTGAAAATTGAATTCTAATTCGTCTGTACATTGATGTGATCATCTCACTTTCTATCGTAACATCATCGAGCTATACCCTCATGGGTGTGAATGAGCGAGGGTCCAAATGATTAAGGGGCTGCGATCAAAAGGCTTCAAATGCCTGCTTTGAGATACAAAAGGCCATGCCAGCCCACAATACGAGTCACGCCCTGGCGTGCTGCTGAAGGCACGGTCTTCGATGCCTTCAAACCCCAATCGGCAAGTACTATTTAATACGTGGTTTCCAGAATTCGATGGATGCGATCAGAGAATAGTGCCAAACCTATACCGATGAAAAGAACAAGCAAAGCAATCAGCAACTGTCTCCAAGATGTAGAATGGGATCTGAGAGGATATGGTAAGGAAGCAATTGGATGTGTTGTAGCTGGGAAGAATGACATACCCGAAAGTCTGCTTGATGCTGCGGACGTAGTAGACGTCCCAGTTCTGTTTGGTCACATCTTCCTGGCCGACAGGGACGCCGGTCCAGCTGACACGCATCTGGGTGACGGCATCAACGTCGTTTTGATCGAAGTTGATCTCGAGAGTGCTGAAGTGGCCTTCAGGCCACTGTGCCAGGCGCCATTTCTGGACGATCTGCTTAGGCTTGTCGAGCTTCACAAATTCTCCATTGACATTGCCATCGAAGATGGAGAACTTCCCACCAACTTGCGCGCCGTCAAATTGACGAGGTGCTCCACGGGTGAAAGCCGCGATACGTTGAGGATCAGTGAAGGTGATGTACAGCTCCTCAGCGGTGGTACGGAACTCATCCGAGGCAGTGACAGTGGTGGTGTTGACAGCGACCTTGTTGGTGGTGGTGGTGGTAGTAGTCTGGGGAGCAGGGCTAGCACTCTTGGAAGTCTGGGGATAGGAGGCTGGTGTAGCGAAACCGCTGGAAGGGTTAACGCCAGGAGCATGTTGGATGTCCTTTCCGTGCTCGGCGATCAGAGCGGGAGCAAGCTTGACAAGCTCTTGTCTTATTTGAGGAACGACCTTCGAACGAACGAGGTCCTTCACCGGTTGCTTGGAGGCGGAATCCGAGTAGTTCTCGATCTCAAACTACAGCACGAGCATTTGTTAACTCCTCGAACTACGAAGCCAGTGGTCCTGAGATAGGGCAGGTGGGACACATACGACGTACTCATCCTCCTCCGTGTCGTGGGCAACCTCAGGAATAGTAATGGTGCCACTAACGGACTCCTCGTCCTTCGTCTTACCTATGGGGGAGCTATTAGTGACACTCTCGGGATAGCTAAACCGCAAGAGTCTTACGAACCTTCGTACTCTAGCTGTAACTTGACATCGAACAAAGTGATGACCTTGCCCTTTCTCTGGCTGACGTCTACGTCGCCATCCATAGTCAGTATGTTCGAAATCTTCGCGGAGACGCCATCTTCCTCAACGGACAGCGCGCAAAGCTTCTCTTTCAAATAGTTTTTGGCCCAAGCAGAGGCATCCTTATTCACCCAGTGCCAGTTGTTGGGGTTGTGAAGGACCATGATGATCTTTTGTGGCTGGAAGCTCTTGGTATGAGAACGATGCGCTCGCGGTGGCGAAACAACAAGCTAATTTTTCGAGTTACTAGGTTCTGCAGAGCAATCACATTAGCAACCATTGTCAGGCAATTGACGTGAGCTGAGCGAAGATAATAATGCAAAATGAGTGCTTCCTTGTCAGGGATCTCGGGTAGCGTTCCCGGACCAGAGCTAATCAGCAGTGGAAATGGTTGTTAACCACCCCGTCTGACTGGTGCCAGCTATGATATCTCATCATATGAAGCGAATCTCACATCGTTTGCGAGGTTCAATGGCCATGCAAACGATAGGGCCAAAGGTGAGGGGGGAAGGTGGGAAGAGTAACTCACAGTGACAAGCAGACGAGGTCCAGAATTAAGGACGCTGCAGAAGACGTAGATCAATTAATCTTTCTTACTGCTGAGAGGTGCTGATCTAGAGAGGCTGAGAGGGGAATACCGTTATGGGGGAGGGGTGGTTATTAATACAGTCTGCCCTCGGGAGTGCAACAGAAGTGGGAAAAACTTCGAAACTGAGCAGATTCAAAAGGAAAGCTCTAGAAGCCAAGCGATCACGTGATGTGAACGGGGAAAGAAAGTGGACACCACAGTACGGACTGGTCGACACACCACTGGAAAAGGTCAGATTGATAATAATAATAATGTTCTTCATTGTAGCTTCTGGTCATGTATATCTCATAACGAACGTATATGGGTATCTTTGTAAAAACAAAACAAGTAGATAAAGGGATGAAGAAGGAGAGAGCAGGTGTCCGATGTCTCATGCCTCTTCCAACTGCTCCAATTCATCCCAGCCGTTTTCATTCACAAGGTGTGCCTTCACGCGCTCTCGGAGGTCCTGTATCTGACTCCCAAGAGCTTCAGTCCATTGACCTTCCACTGTAGCGACTTTGTCTTTCAGATCGTTGGTCAAAGCGCGCTCCTCATCTGCGCGGGATTCTTGCATTTCACGCCGCACATCATCCTCTGCTTCGCCCTGGCGGATACGTTGGGCCTCCATGAGCTTACAGTTGGCTCCCATCACAGCAGACTTGACTTCGTGCAACAGGCAAAACAGATTGATTTGGGATTCGATGAACTGATAGCTGGATTTCTCTGCGTGTGACAGGAGCGTGTAGAGGTACTGTAGCGGGTGCTCGTGGTAACTTGGGTTCTCTTCAAACTCTTTGGCAGGAATCTGGATCTGAAAGCCACGAAGTTCGTTCGGAATTTGTTGGATCAGAGCCAGCAGAGACGGTGCAATGTCCCAGAAGGCTGATAGCTGCACCTCGACACCCCGAACCACATTCTCCTCGATTACACTTAGGAAAGATTCGAGGCGGGACAGTGCTTTCGCTTCGTACGTCACCCGGCGGTGGAGAGCGTCTTGGGCAAAGAAGGCGTTGGTCTCGCGGATCTTGTCCTCGTTTCCCTTTTGTCTATATGGTAGCAGGACAACGGCTTTATACTTCTCATCGCGATCTCCAACAAGGTCGTACGCTTCCCGATGCAACACTTCCCGGCCTTCGAACAGCCATTTCAGCTGTTTAAGCTTCTCCAACAATTCCGGTTTCTCGTCGCCCTCTTCCTGCGTCTGGTCAGGAGTTTCGTGCTGCGCATCATCAAACAACTTTCCGATCAATTCGTCAATGCAAGCGGTAGCTCGGTTGATTCGGTCCGTTAGAATAGCATGTATCGGGTTCATGACCGACTCTTGGTACGTATCCAGCTCTTTCTTTACCAATTCCCTTTCAAGTCGATTTTCTTCTTCGATCAGAGCGGCTTCAGCCTCGGCGGCCTCCGCGAAGGTTATACTACCCTGCTGGATCTGGCTTTGAATGTTGGCTTTGAACTGTCGGCGACCTTCATCAACTGTCTCCCGATGACCTTTTAATAAGCGTTCCACTTCGGATTGATGCCGCTGTCTTGTTGCTTTGATTTCAGAAAGATCGCCGATTGATCGCACCAGCGTTCGGTATGCAACAAGGTCTGGGTGGCTGTTGTTGACAGCAGGATGATGCCGTGGATAAGGTGGTGGTAAAGTAATCAATCTCGAGACATCCAATTTCTGGACTTCCCTCGTCCGTCCAATTCCATGACGTGGCGCAGAGCTCGGGAAGCCCGAGGGAGCAGGCTCTTGCTCTTCATGCCATCCGACTTTTTCAGGGGGATATTCGTCGGGTCCACAAGCGGCGTATTGACTCGTCGCATTTGATCCATAGCTTTGTTGACTCGCGCCGAAAAACTCCTGCCCTTCCGCCCATTGCATAGCTTCCCGAGGTACTCCCATGTACTTTGACTCTCGCTTTGATCGCTGAACCTTTCGTTCGCCGCCCTCGCTCTCTGACCCAGTCCTCGACTCCCACCAGCGACTGGGGGCCCGGCCCCTGGAGCTCATCTCGTCGTTACTCATACTCATGCTGGCGATGGGAGACAAACAAGGCTTGTAATTGCTCCACCATGCAGATTCAGGGCGGCTCGTAGGTATGTCTAATGGCGGCACTGCTCGTGTCCCCTGTGAAGGCCGCCGAGAATGGGATACAACTGCTGCAATGCTATCCTGGGGTTCAACAATTGGCTTTGGCGGTAATTCAAACAGCTTGCGGCGCGCTGCCTCAATGTCGAAAGCGCCCGAGTTCCAGACTTTGTCATATCTTTCTCGTCTGATTTGAGACTCGGCAATGATGAAATCCGCGAAAATTCTCAAGGCCTCCGTCTCATTGACAGCGCTGGCCTCCTTCTCGATGAACTCTTTGTGTCTTTGCATGGCATCGTGAATAAACCCCAAATCCTGACTGAGAACAGAGTCCAGTGACGACCCTTGCTGTGCTGCCAGGCGTCGCGGAGACAGCGGAGCGACAGTGGACAAAGCGTCGTTAGGAAGGTGCAATATGTGAGAAACCGGACGTTCCTCACTGGGGGTCAACCGAGCCGATGGTCTCACGTCTTGACTGGATTGCAATGGGGGTGTTGGAAGAGCTTTTGGTGGCAAAGCCTGCAAGGCTGCGGCCTTAGCAAATGTTGGGGATATATTCTCGTTGTCAGGTGAGAATGGCGGAGTTTGCGCAAAGGTCCGAGATGGCCCTGCCGGACTGGGTTCCGCTCTGGGAGTGGAGAAGGAGGAACGGCCTGAGAATAGACCTGTAGAGGATGCCCTCGACCGTGTGACAAGTTGCTGCCCGTCAGAGCCGGCGCTAGCGGTGCTTCGAGGCGTAAACTTCGTTGAATTGGGGTGTCGCCCATTTTCATGGATTGTGTTTGAGTTGTCAAGGACGAGATCGGAAGGCTTCACATGATCTAGCGCGTCGGCCCAAGGATTGCTACTGCTCGAGACGGCGCTGAAATCATCAAAAACCTGACTCTGTCTATTTCGGCGTTCGACGCGCCTCTCGCGAATACCTTTGGCGCTTGGGTCTCGAATAGCTGGACTACGAAAGAGACCACCGTTGGCTGAACTTTGGGGGGCATGGCTTGGATCCCTGGATTCTGACCGAGTGGTCGCGCGATTAGATAGGGTAGCGCTGGATGTATCAATGTTCGGGAGGTCCCTATCCCGCCTTTGTCTGCTCTCTCCCGAACCTTCATCAACCCAGCCGGCGGGAGTTGGTGGGATGCTATCCAAACCTGTTCCCATCACAGGGGGCGGCCGTCTTCGCGTCAAGACCTGCGAGTTCCGCATCGCCGATGTCTCTGACAGGCCACTCACACTTTGCGACCTGGCGGTAGGAGGAGGAGGCCCCGGAGGCGGTGGTGGGAGCGGCATGCCTGGCTCCCAGCCACGCGTCGATGGTGAATGACTGCGAGATTGACTCGTGGCTCTAGAAGAGCTGGCACTGCCGACCATGGGACCTGCAGAAACAGCTCTTTTGGAGGCTGGTGCACGTGTGAAATTATCAGACTGAGGAGTAGGAGACAAATGGTAATGTTCACTGGACGAGGATGAAGACTGCAGACTCTCCTGAGAGACGGCGATAGACGGTCTCTGCCCCGCACCAAAGGACGTCCGATCGCAATACGTATCGACGCGGCTCTGGGACGATGACCTCGATCCTGTAGCACCCTGCGGTAGTGGAGGAGGCGGGGGAAGTGACATGTGCCTGCTGTGCCCTGCATCGCCTGTATTGACCATCGAAAGGGGGCGAGTTCGGGGAATGGTTCGTTGCCTATATTCAACATGTGGCTCAACGCGATATGATGGCACGGCGGATGGGGATACGGAGCCTCTATTTGAGCTGTCACTATTCACATGCTCTCTTGACTGTTGATGCTGCTGTTGCTGGCTCGGAGGAGAGTAAGGCGGGGGCGGCGGTGATAACGAGTCTTCTATTAGACTTACAGGTCAGACCTTGGTTCGCCTCGGACTGACTTCGAAAGAAAGCCACAACTGGCGTATGAAGTGAAGGGTAAGATGGTACGGACCTGAATGGCCTGGGGCCTGTCGCGAATGTGACACGATACGAAGCATACTATTCGCCTGTGGATATGTAGCACGTCCGGCATTTGAAGTAGCACCGCTCACTGGCCCCCAATCCTGAGGATTATAAGGGACATTGTACTGTCTGGACGTCATGGGAGATGATCCTAACATTGCGCCACCAGGTGAGGCAACAGCAGGCGAGTAGGCTTGAGTAAATGGACTGGATAGTGATGTCGTCGAGAGGGGCGTGGATGCGTAGCCGGCACTCAGTGCGACTCCAAGTCCTTGGACCTGATGAGTTCCTAGTGAGGTCGTTATAGGTGGCGGCTGCACAGCATGTTCCCGGCGATTTGGGGATAGCTGATTGCTGGTACTGGTGTGAGTCGACGGCCAGCCGGAATGAGGATATGAATTCAGCGGCGGCCCGTTACCAGCATTACTTGGAGACAACCAGCTATAGACAGCCGCCAATCAGTACCATTGCCCTTCTTTGAGATAGGGACAAGGAAAACATAGAAGAACAGTATGCAAGAGGGGCCTGCGCACCTATTCATACTGGCAGGAAGATCAAATGGCAGCGAAACAAGAGGCCATGGCTGTAAGCCGCGCACAAGAATAGGATCAGAATCAGGAGCGAGAACACAGACCCTGAAACCTACCAAATGCGACAGGTCAATGGAAGGATGCGAGAAAGTGATGCGGATTTCTATTATTTGCAACACTTAGTGCCATCAGCCGCGGAGGAGGCTTGCACGGGAGAGACGAATCGGCTGTTCAACGGGCGTAACTCGTCGGATCCACTGTTGGGGAAAGAGATAAAAATAACATCAAAGACCTGGACCTTTGGATCCATCGGCCAGAGTGAGCGAGACTACAAAGAGTCTGCAGAATCCGGCATGGCGATTCTGACCTGATACTCTCAGGACTCCATGAGATGCAGCCGGAGGACGTCTGTCACACGCGGCGTGGTGTTGGCGCTTATCGCAACGAAATCGCGTGCTCTCACAGGTCGACATCCTCGTCACTCCACGCCAAGGAGTGACCTCAATGAGCAAATGAGATTCCTTATCACACCTAGGGTCGTCCGGAATCCTATAAGATTGTCTGTGGACAAACTAAAGTTGCGGTAGCGCAGACTAGGTGAAATCTTCCTCGGGACGTCCAAAAATCGACAAGTCTCCCACTCACGGGTGACTGCGGATGATGCGAAGGGGATAATGTCGACTGTCAAGTATCGTCCTACAAATAAAGAATGATAACTAGCTGAAACGGAGATGTACAGAGAAATATTTTGTTTCATTGAGTATATCGCAGGGGCTGAACTGCTGAAATCAAAGATGCTTGTATTGGAAAGACCTCATGATGTGCAAGATAACAATTTAGAGGGAGCAGGATGGACCTGTGCAGGCTTAAGCAAGTGGGCAAAGCTTTACGAGACCTGTTATGTACTGATGAAATGTCAGCATCCAGTCATGACAATGTAACATCTTAGATTGATATGCAAAAGGCAGATGTCAGATACATGCCCTGTCACAGGCGGTGGTCATCAATGAATGATTATGTTGACCGTCGTGATTAAATAGAAGTAAATCATCATTCTAGATGGGAACAGACGAAAGAAAATGAGGAAACTTACTGTCAAATATGATTTCAAGTGGTACTGGAGATCGACACTTCCCAGGAGGGAAACACATTGGCACAACTAAGCGAACAACTTGTCAGCATGAACGCTAGATATGCGCAACAGACATGAGCAAAGTATTGCGACTGATCAGTCATGACAATTATCGTCTTGGTCAGCGATGCCGACTTGGACATATGCTTGTCTTTTATAATATGTCGATTCATCATTGTGAGGGTGGATGTGGAGATTGGGTGCCTACATACACCTCTTTCCATCTTTTCGCACACGTCGAGGGGTTAGTGAAGCTTCAAGTCTGCTAAAGGTAGAGATTAGACCTATCAAGGAATTAGCTGCGTAATAGGAGCAAAGACCAAGAAGCATCGAGGAAGACATTTTGTCAGAAATGCATGAATGGTAAAAAAAGGATGTTGTCTGCATCGATAACTCGAATAAGACTCGTCATCTAGGGAATCATCACGGTGTAGGGGGGGGAACATCATAAGAAAAGTACCAAGTATTTACCTAGTTGGAAAGTGCAAGCAGACAGCTGTGCATCCTAGTGACTACATTCTAACCATAACAATCAGTATTATGCTGAGAATTAGGTCGAAGCAGAAGATATCACAACGTGAAGGTATCAGTGGGCGAGGTTTTCTAGGCCTGCCGCAAAGAGGCATATCCATCAAGAACCGGACGTTTTTTCAACGCCGTCGGAGCCCAGTGCCGCTTCATCATCGAATTTGGGGGTTGCACAAAAGCCGGAAGGGCTTACCGGCACTAAGTACTACTCAAGCCATCTTCTGTTTTCCAAAACTAGTTGCTGTCAGCGTACAGCCAGCTAATAGGCAGTGATAAGAGACAAAGGTGCATGGGAATATCATCAGAAATAGCCATTTGATATCGTCGAGGACCCGAAGGTCTCAGTCGGTAATTTCCAGCGTATATAAATACGAAAGCATCATGTGATAGTGATCAAGGCAGGTTTCAAGGAAAATAGAGTTACATACCATTGTCCGAGGATGAATCGAAACACCTTGTAGAGCTAAGCAGAGATTGTCAGTCCTAAATCGAATATTAGCACACTGCAAAACCAATTGGCCAATGGACTAATGAAGTTATTGCAAGCAGCATCAGACTGACGTGCAAAAACCGAGTTTTCATTCCCAGAAGGGGTCAAAGACTCTAGTTTGAAAAAAAGGTTGTAGGTTTCATCATGCTAGGGAGGAGGGAGGGAATGATCAGAACTCACCAGGCCACATGATGTCTGAGAACCAGTCAAGTCAGCACACAAAAAGGTGAGATGAACAATCCAGAGAAGTAATGTATAACATCGCTTAAAGCAATTCCTCATTCATTAAGAGGAAAAGCCATCGCACATCGATGATGCCAGAATACTGTTGATGTTGTAAGGTTGTTGTTGTGAGTAGAAAAAGTCTCGGAGGAAAATCTGTTTCGAACTTTTTCAAGCTCCATCCACTGGAGCTAATTTTACCGAGTGCGCTAGTCTGGAGTGGGTTAGAGCATGACTAGGAACAAGATAGGGATTACATAATCTGCCAGTCAGCTGATCTTGAGAATCCACGCTCATCAATGGAGGACTTTCTTTATTCCGGCCGCATGACCTTCCTCAATTCGGGTGCCAGAAATAGCTCTTAGGAGTCGGACCGGGCGAGACTCGAATAGTCTCAAACTCGAGGCATTATTATCAAATTTGCGAATCTGCTGACCCTCTGAACCCACTTACTATTGAGAGGGATTTTCTGGGGAGAACTACTGATGTCAATACAGAACATGGTATCTCCTTAGTAACTGTCAGAATGATCAATTTGCCAGCGGATAAAGCAGATGTTCCTCCAGGCGCATAGCATCGGCTGGCTCACTGAAGTAGTGCAGTGTCGGCTGGTAACAGTATGGGCCGAGACTCCAGATACCACTCCGTACTCTGTACTATCTAGGAGATACCTTAATCGACTACATTATGCATCAACTATCAAGAGCGCGGGGAATATCGGGGCGACTCGGACAGAGGAAGAAGAAAAGCCGGCAAGTTTCCCGAAGAGGAATAGAGCGGGGGACTGCGGGGGTCTCTTGACGGGTAATGACGAAAACCATGACGATCAGGTCGACCTTGCTGAACATCCACAGAATAATGGAACTCTGATGGATACCTTACGTACGGATTGACCATTTGGTTCTTCTGACTAAGGGAGAAATACTCAGAGGACGATTGCGTCAAATCAGATGCGACCGGTTCTGCCCTGTTATCCGCGGGGGGTCTGACGTTCCTTGTGATCCACCGGCAAAGAATTATTGCTTCTGGTCCTGGAGTACCCTCTGCTCTATAAGAAGGGGCGAACCGGGTCCTCTCTGGTGTCGAGCTGATAGATTATTTCCATTGCTACCATTCTTAACCTATCTCTCGCATCTCAATTCAATTCAATTCCATTCCATTGCCACCAATCGTCTCTTATCACGATTTGCCTCACAGTCTTGTAGAGGTTCGTTCTCCCGCTGTAGTTCTGCTAGAACTCTCCTTGTTTCTCCGTCGAACCGAGGTTGTACGTTGACTTACACTGGTTCTGTTCCCCTTCAGAACTTATTCTAGCATCGTGTCAATTCTCTCCTCTGTCCTATACACCACCACATCCTTCCACATCCAGAATGTCTTCGAACGGCAACAACGGCGCTGTGGGCCAGGAGAACATCAACCCAGATATCATCACCCTCACACGATTCCTCACTGAAGAGCAGGTCAAGGTGCCTGAAGCCACCGGTGACTTCACGTGAGTTTGACCCTTTCACGGTCTGTTGAGACGAATCACTATGTGCCGAAACTAATCACACTGCCATGGCTGCGAACAGATTGCTCTGCCATGCTCTTCAGTTCGCTTTCAAGTCTATTGCCTACTATATCCGTCGTGCGTCATTGATCAACCTGACCGGTCTGGCGGGCTCGTCAAACACAACCGGCGATGACCAGAAGAAGCTGGACGTGATCGGAAATGACATCTTTGTCTCCGCCATGAGAGGCTCCGGCAAGTGCCGTATACTCGTCTCAGAAGAGGAGGAAGAGGCGATCGTACTCGACGAGCACCCCAACGCCCGCTACGCCGTCGTCTGCGACCCCATCGACGGCTCATCCAACCTCGACGCTGGCGTCTCGGTTGGCACCATCTTCGGCATCTTCAAGCTCCCCGACGAGGTCCTCGGCCCCAACAAGAAAGTGACGGCCAACGACCTCCTGCGCGCCGGTACCGAGATGGTCGCCGCCGGTTTCACCATGTACGGCGCCTCCGCCCAGCTCGTCATCACCATGCGCAACGGCGGCGTCAACGGCTTCACCATGGAAAACTCCCTGGGCGAGTTCATCCTGACCCACCCCAACATGCAGCTCCCCGCCAAGCGCGCCATCTACTCCGTCAACGAGGGTAACAGCATGTACTGGGACGACTGGGTCAACGAGTACTTCCACTCCCTCAAATACCCCGGCGAGGGCCAGACGCCCTACAGCGCCCGGTACATCGGCAGCATGGTCGCTGACGCGTACCGCACCCTGCTGTACGGCGGCATTTTCGCCTACCCCGCCGACAAGAAGAGCACCAAGGGCAAGCTGCGTATCCTGTACGAGTGCGCGCCTATGGCCATGCTGTTCGAGAATGCCGGCGGTCTCGCCATCAACTCCCGCGCCGAGCGTCTTCTCGAGGTCGTTCCCGAGCACATCCACGACCGCAGCGGCGTGTTCCTTGGCTCGAAGGATGAAGTGCAGAAGGTCATCGACACCTACAACAAGCACAAGAAATGAGTGCAATATATCCTCGCTGGAACGATCGATGTCGGGAAGGAGTTTTCGGGTTTCTGCAATAGCCTGACCATTGGCGTTGGACTAAATGATCTGCATGTATGGAGTATTGTAATTAAACTCGCAAATAAAAGAATATAATCCAAATGCACGACATGACATGTTGAAGTTAAAACAAGGAACAAAAGATGTAGGCTGCGCGCTCCTATCTGGAGACTATAGTCATTTTGAACTCAAAAGTCCCACACTACGTGGGCAGCAGTCTATAACCCATTTACTCGTTGTTTATTTGACTGGGGGGCAGTCAACTATATGTGCACCCCACAGGCGTTATTTGTGTCTGGAGTATACTAGCTGTGAAAATACTAGCCGTGAAAATATACAAGGTCCGAGCAAAAGAAAGTCACAGTATCAATGACATCTAGATTCAATTGATTTCTCCAGATACAGCTATGGGTCTATAAAGAAAGACAAAAAAAAAGAATGTACAACCCAGTTTAGTCAACTGGATCTTCTTCAAGAAGAGTCTTGAAGCTGAAAGGAGCGAAGGGTATGCCATCACCCATGAAATGCTTGCTCATGGCCTCGACCCAGTGTAGACGAAGGGAGTGAAGCATTGCACTTGTACCCTCCATGACACACAAAATGGCAATGGTCAGTGTGAACCACATATAGAAGGTGACGACAATCATGATAACGCGAATGGTAGGCGACTCCTGCTCAAAGGCACCGCCGATGGTCATGTCCCACAAGACGATCGAAAGCTGCTGGTGAGCGAGCGAGAGAGCCCACAGACGGAGGTATGAAGCGGTGTGGGAGATGCAGTTGAGACAGAACTCGATGGTGTGGATGACCTGGTGGATAATAATTTCAGAAAAGTCAAATTCCTCATGCTCTTCGTCGCCGAGGTCTTCAGCAATCATCGCCACGCCTTCACCGTCGCTGGCCATGCTATCGCGGGGCCCCGAGACTCCACCGTTCATATCAGTGTCATCCTCCAGCGCACTCACACGGGACTGCTCCCCAAGGCCTCTGTATCCCAGAGCACGAGCACGGTTGTGTTCCCAGCGAAGGTAGAATGGCTTGAAGAAGAGCATGATTGGGACTTGAACAACAGCGAGCAACAGCAGCACAACCTGGACACCGGCTTGGCCTTTGTACAGCTGCTCTTCCACAGTTCCGGGAGAGAGGAACATGAAAATGAGCATGTTCAGAAGACCTGGAGGAGACTGGCCCCTGGCGTCCCAGTTGACAGACCATTTGTAGACGATGGTGAGAACAAGGTAACCAAAGATTGACTGGAAGAAGATCATGCCGGGAATGAAATTGCCAATAATGTCGACCTTTGACTTGAAATGCCGCGCGTTGATATACTGCAAGCAAAGCGCATATGTCATCTAGGAAAGTCAGCGTCAGTCAGACTCTCTTGACAAGCAGCAGAATATCACTTACGTGTGCCCAACCCAAAATAATACTCATCTTCATCTTCATACTGTTGGTAAAGAGAAGAGAGTTCTCAGCCTCGTGCCAATTCCAGTCCAGACCGAACGGGTAACGATAGCCGGCCTTCAACGAAGCCTCAACTGTCTGTCCCTTCTTGATGTTATCAGGCCATTGCCACTGACTAGGAAAGACAGTGAAAGACTTGGAGAAGACATCGTTATAGATCAAGCCGGTGTACATAGAGAAAAGACCCATCATCAACATGATGTAACGACCATAGAAGGCCATGTAGGTCAACTCGTCGAGCTTCGTCTTCTGCAACTTTCGTTCCCAGAAGATCATAGCAGCAGCGGCCATTGCCATCAAAGCACCGTGACCGAAATCACCAAACATAACAGCGAACAGAAAAGGGAATGTGACGACGGTGTACAGTCCAGGGTTTGCTTCCGAGTACTTAGGAATACCGTAGGCATTGACAATGGTCTGGAAGGCCTCGGTAAACTTGTTCGTCCTGACATAGGTAGGCGGGGTCTTGTTCGTCCGAATCTGATTGACAATGGTAGGCACGCTCAGTCCAGCGCGGTCATTGACGTCTTGCAGAGTCGACTTGATCAACGCCAGGGAGTTGGTCGGGCACCACGCCTCGGCAATCAAAGTCTTTCTCGCTTGGTCATAGGAGAACTTGTTGAGCGTATCGTACACGGCCTTCTCCTTCTTGACAATGATCATCCAAGCCGCAAGGGAGCGGGCAATCTGAGTAAGCTCTGCATCCAGGGTGTTCTTGGTGTTGCGCAAAACGTTGCCCACATCACTCAGCCGGGTGTTAACTTCATGAATCTGATCCCTTCTCAGCTCGCTGTTCTCATCAACACCATACAACGAAGCACCAAGAGATTCGGAAATCTTCCTGATCTTCGAAATGATGTGCTTCCCATGAGCGAAGATCACAAAGACATTCTTGTGCGATTCCTCATTGGTAGTCGGGTCAATGATCGGCTCGGGGATCTCCGACTGGTTCATGTACAGGTTACCACGCAGAGTTCGCCAAAGAATCCGCTCAAAGGCACCAATACGATCCCGGGGAATAACACCGGCCACGAACCCAATGTTCATCTCAAGGAACGACTGCTGAGCCTGGGCATCGCCATTCGGTCCACGGCTAGGTTGGTGTTCAACATCCCGCAGCAGCGGAGCTTCATCGTTATCGAACGACTGGCGGATCTCGTCCGTATGCGTATGAGCGCGATCAAAGAAGCCGCCGGCCTCTCTGAGAACCCACCGCCACTCCGTAAGCTCAACCTCGCGCTTCTTCAGGGTCTCGTAGCTATCGTTCAGCGAGGCGATTCTCTGCTCGAGGCTCTCACTCCGCTCGGCGAGTTCATCGATTTCCGAAGCCAGGGGAGCTGCCAACGTATCGGAGAATTCGGTGGAAGATCTCATCGGGATTCCTGCCTTGCCCATCTGCGCATGGAAATAGCCTGCCAAGAAGTCATGCATGTTCAGCCAGATGCCACCACCACCGCCGCCAGTATCTTCGCGACGCATTTACCCTCTCACAGGACGGAATACATACGCAGTTGTCTCTCCACATTATCCAACCGACGAATCTCCTTGGTGAAAGTCCGCTGGAAAGCATTGGTGTCGGGGTTAAGCTATTGTAGATATCCAAATCAGCCACCTGTATCTCATCTACTCAAGCAACCTCAGCCAGATACGGCACAACTTACATCTCGGAATTGAACCTGACCAAGTTCTCCTAAAGCACTAACAACCTCTCGTCCGATTTCATTGGCGATATAGAGCTGCGTCAAGCTCATATCAGACGAGCGGAAAAAGGTGTCCCTCGGAGCCATGGTGAAAGCGTCACTGCCTGCAGCAGGTTCTTTCCACCACAGGGACGGGTATGGCGCAAGGACTTCGTGTTTAAATATATAGTTGCGACAAACCGTCTCTTAACGATAGAAAATGGCAAGAAATGACGGGAAGAACAGCGCCGCTGGCTAGAGGCAGCTATGGATTGCTCAACTGGTGATGCACTTGGCGCTCTCGGAGAGCCGCGTGGCTTGCCTTTGGGGCACGTGATTATTATGTCATCCAGCTTACTCAGACAGCTGTTTATGGTCAAGAACAACTGCCATGAGGATGGCATTATTCATGCCATGGGTGTTGGCAAAACATGGCCAAACAATTGAAAAAAAAGAAATTTGCTTCCAGTCTTCTCCTAGCTTTTTACGTCTAACGGAGTCCTATACTTTAAAATGCTCATTTGTGCTCAAACATGTGAGGTGCCCGGAATACAGGAACATATAGTTCTGTAATGTCTCCATAGCAAATGCTTAGAAGTCATTCCTGGAACAGAAGGCAATACATTTAAACTATTACACACAGTTGCTTTTACTGCTATACAGACCATGCCTAATGCAAAGGTGACGCTGCTCTAGACAAGAATCACATAGAAGGATCAAACCTCGATTTGAAAGAGTGACTTGACTATCATACAGATTATGACATAGCTATTGTGCTTCTCTCCTTCAATAGCTTCTGACCCGCCGCTCTACGCGAAATAACTCTTCCAGAGCACCCCTGATAGGTCTTCAAGCTGATCTGATGTGAAAGCCTATTTGATAAATTAGCTTTTGTGTCCCTCAGAATCCTAGTAGTACGTTCGTCACCAACCTTCGCGTCTATGTGCCAGGTATCTTGCCTCGTCTTCTTGAAATCACTGATAATTGACTTGACGCTTGAACCAACAATGCCGGGGTCGCTTGCGGCGCGGATACTCAGCGTGGTTAAAGCCTCAGGCATCCACTTCGGAGGTGGACTGTCGTAAGGGAACGCTTGTATCAAAGCCCCAAGGCCCAAAACTGCGCCGTGTCTGACAATGATGAGTCTAGTATGCTCGGGAGTTGGTGTACCGGCTCGAGAGGAGACTGGAGAAGCCAATACAGAACGAGCATGGTTCTTTGGTTTCTTGGGGAATGGGTTCTCAACTAAGACTTTCGTGAAGCGCTCTTGGAGCTTGCTGACCATGTGCCGCCGGAGAGACACAGGCGAGCAGCGAATCATGCCCGAAAGGGTAGCTGATGCACCAGCCCTCACCTCATGCTGTGTATCCTCAAGCATATTCGCGATACAATCGAACAACTTTTCCCGATCGACGGGAGAAAGTAGGAACAGACGGCGGAAGTAAATGATCTGAATGTTGATCATGACTCGCAAGCGCTGGTGCCACGAGGGTGACGTTTGCCCAATGTGTATCAGGGATTTGATGAAGCCGGAGTCTTGCTCAGCTGGGTACGGGATATTTGGTAAATGACGGAATACATGATAGGCCAATGACTGAAGTTCCGGGTCTTCTTTGACATCCATCATATGCAAGAGCTGCCCTATGAACACATCAGGGAAGAACGGGACAAGCTGAGTACATTCGTGAGATGAGAGAGTGGAGTCGAGCCACAGGAGAACTGTCTTGCTGCCAGAAGTGTAGGAAGATGGGGTCTGTTGACCCGGCGTTCTCTCATGACGCCATTTCTCAATCCGGTCAAAGACTTCGCGCACCA